TGTAGGGTATTCTAGGTTGCTGAGCATGAATTAGAAACTACTAGCATTAATTATAAAAGAATAATATATATATATATGTATAAATATATATAATAATTAATATTATATATTTTCGGTTTGGTATGGGATTCCCGAAATATTAAGAAGCCAATCCCGAATCCCATACCGAAATTTTGGGATTGGTTCGGGATAGCATCCCGAAAATTTCGGGAATTTCGGTTTGGGAAATTTTTGGTTTGGGATCGGAATTTTTTCGGTTCGGTTCGGGATTTTCGGGAATTTTTTCCACCCTTAACAAGGCACCTAAACCTAAAGTAACATAATGATAGATTTTCTCATGTTACTAATATACCACGTCACAATCGTTTCTTAAATAAATTTTTAAATAGGCGACACGACACTTGTTAGACAATAACACACTATTTCTATGGAAGCAAATTTGAAAAGAAATAGTACAGAAACGGACAAATTTCTAAAAGGAGTGAAACTGTAGCCGCAGTAAGTAGTACGGTAGTCATCTTTTCACCTTTGCCTCTCCTTTTTATCTCTCACCATCCACAAAATTCCCCATTTCCATAACCAACGCCCAGGTCCCAGCTAAGCAAGAGGGGAGAAAAACAACTCTGGTTGTGGAGATTGGGTTTTGAGAGAGGATTCGGAGGAGGAAGAGGGATAGGGAGGAAGATGTTTCCGGTACTGATGCACGAAGGAGGAGGCATGGTTGGTGAGGAAGATATGCAAATGCAAGGTCACAGTCACAGAGGAGGAGGAGATCCTTGCCTTGTCTTAACTTCCGACCCCAAACCCCGTCTTCGTTGGACAGCTGACCTTCACGAACGATTTGTCGATGCCGTCACTCAGCTCGGCGGTTCCTCCAGTCAGTCTTCCGTTTCCCACTTTTCTTTTTAACTTATTGTTATTATCATTTGATAGGGTTTTGATTGATGAACTCAGATCCCTTTCTTTCACCTATTCTTCTCTACCTGTGCTGTGCGGCTATGCCTATAATATTACAACATTGAATTGAATTGAAGCTTGTTTCAACAAGCAATTAATAAAGATTGAATTTGAGGCTTGAGCTGGTAGCCTGCTACATCTGTTTGTGTGTGTATTTATGTATGTATGTTTGTATGTATAATTCAGTCACAAATTAGAATCAGATGGAGCTCATCAGAGCTGCTTTACTTTCTAAATTCTAAGTTGGCTGCTAGCCGTTGCCAATCTCTCGCGTCCTTGAATCTTCAACCCGTTTAGGATTATGATGAGAGCTTCAATTTATTTGCAGAAGCTACGCCAAAGGCCATTATGCGGACAATGAATGTCAAGGGCCTCACACTTTTTCATTTGAAGAGTCACCTGCAGGTTTCTTTTTGGACTTAAATCAATTATCACTGCGTTACCAAAGTTCAAACACTTGTACCAACTTATTGTTTCTTGCTGCATTGCAGAAATACAGACTAGGTAAGCAATCAGGCAAGGATATGGCCGACATATCCAAGGATGGTACGTTTTCTTATAACTCTCTCTTTGAGCCCATTCACATTTGGTGCTAGTTTAGTTCCCTAAAGTTTTGTTGGGTTTTTTTCGCAATGGAATAGGTTCTTTACAGTATGAAATAAGGGAGGTGGACATATAGGCCCTTGACAAAACTTTAACTTCCCTCAAAACTTGTAGCAAACTTATCCTTACAACCAAGAACATTGATAAGCCAACTAAGTTTCCACGTATGTATTGTGAGACAACAATTCTTTTACGCCTTGACAATTTTTTTACATGCAGCCTCATTCTAATACAAGAGAGCTCAACACAGAAAACTCAATTTAGTTATTAATTTGGGAGATTGCACTAGCAATACTTGAACCCTCAATCTTCAACTATGGGACCTTTTTTTGTTGGTTCCTGTGTTCCCAAAAACTTAAAACTCTAAGGATGTAGTGCAACCAATTTATTCCCCGACAATAAGTGCTCGCTCTTTCTTCCCACCCTTGCTACCTCTTAGATAACCATACTTTATGGCTGCCTATTTTAAATCCCTCTAAAAGATGTATTTTGTGAGTGGAATCTTAAATTTTGTGTCTGACTTGTTTTGCCAATCATTATGAGGATTGTCAGCTTCCTACCTTCTAGAAAGCCCTGCTACCGGCAATTCTTCACCAAATTTGCCAACTTCTGATTTGAATGAGTAAGAGAGTTTTCAACTTTTTTCTCAGAACCTTTTGATGCATAATAGGTCATTTTACATTAAATGTTTGGTTTTTCCAAAATGTCATCTTCAGGGGTTATGAAGTTAAGGAGGCATTGCGAGCACAGATGGAAGTGCAAAGTAAATTACATGTGCAGGTTGAGGTAATGTAGGTGAAACGTGTGTGCTTGTTTCTATTTTCCCATTTTGTAGATTTTTTTCATGATGGTTTAAATGCCAAAATTAGCATCTACCAGTAAGTAAGAACTTGTTGCCCTTGTTATTGTAGGCTGAGAAGCACTTGCAGATTCGCCAGGATGCAGAGCGAAGATATATGGCCATGCTTGAGAGAGCTTGTAAGATGCTTGCTGATCAATTCATTGGAGGTTCAGTTACTGATACAGATGGCCATAAATGCCATGAATCGGGGAATAAGAACCTAAAAGGTACTTCCCTTGACATGCTTGGCTTCTACTCGTCGCAATCCACAGATGCTGTTGGGGTTCATGGTATAGGTGAAGAGCTGCCAATTTGCATCCATACCCAGAGAGCTGATTGCTCCACTGAAAGCTGCCTCACGTCACATGAGAGTCCTGGAGGACTGACCTTGGAAGGATCTCCAGGTGGCGGAAAAAAAAGAATGTTGAGCCTGGACAACGGCAATGGATCTTTAATTTGGGGCGAAGCCAAGGTGAGAACCCAAGAGATTAGTGTAGCCCCAATTGATCCTCCTCATGATATTGCTAGGTATGGCATGTAGGGCTGAATTCGAGCATGACCACAGTGACGTCCTTTTGTTCACTCTGCGTTACAATATTTTCTTGCCCATTTGGTTGGCTGGAAATGAAAGTGAAAACTAGTTGTCTCAACCCCCAAACTGTAAATTCAACATACTAGTGGCTTAAATATAATGCACAACGAATTGCGTCGCAAATATAATATTTGCAAAATATTTGTTTCGGGTGAAAGAAACTAAATTATGAATGCTTGTGGTTGAGACTTGAGAATTCTGTGGTGTAGCGCCTCGTTTAGTGTCAGGGTTGGATTGAATAGGAAAGCTTGCTAGATTCAATAAATGTTGAATGAAGAAATGAATGTTTGCATGTTTTGTTGTCCAACAAATGAATGCTAGCTTTTGTATACCGGATTATTATAGTTTTTTTTTTAATTACAAATGATATTACTCATCAAATCTAGACTACAAGTGGAGGGAGAATTTGACCCGTGGCAGAGTAGGTTGAAGAGGAAGATCTTAATCACTAGGGTAATCCACTATTTGTGCATTCTTTTTATTTTTAACAAACGATATTATCACCACTTGTGCGTTCTTAAATACAATATCTTTCAAATTAAATATGGTAATTTTTTTTAAATCACAGATGGTTCCTGAAATTAACTCTCACAATCTAGATGGTCTTTGAAATTGAAAATCAATAAATATAGTCCTTTAAAATAGGTGTCGCAAATTAATGTGGTCCTTCCATCACAATTTTGTTAAAAATTTCGTCAATGATGTGGCACATAAATAGGTCTTATAAGTCTTTTTTTTTTTTTTTCTTCTTACAAATAGTCCGTGAAATTGACCATTGACATCAAAATGGTCTCTGAAATTTACCTGCGACATCAAAATGGTCCTTGAAATTAAAAATCGATCGATATAGTCCTGCAAGTACGTGTGCCAAATCAATGTAGCATTTTCGTCACAATTTTGTCAAAATTTTTGTTATGTGCTAATGTGACACATAAATGGATTACACAAGTCTAATTAAATTAAAAAAAAATTACAAATAAGTTTAATAATTTAATAACTAAAAAAATCACACAAGTCTAATTTAATAATTCAATTTCAGATATCATCTTGATGGTAAAAGTAAAATTTAGAGATCATTTACGATAAAAATCCAATTAAATATAACTAGAAAATTCATTAAATTAGTATTTGAATTTAATATTATGTGTGGGGCATTGGTCCTTCAGATAATTATGTGAGAATTATTGTCAAAACTAAGCACAAGAAACGCACATAGCAGCTCTAAGAAATAAATCAAGAGACTTTACGAATTTATTTTTAACAAAAATTTTCTTGAAATTAGCGTCATTGACGGGTGCTCTAAGTTAGTCTCATATTCCAATTTCAATGAACTTTCAACCCTAAGGAGTTGATTTAGTGGAAAGCGAGTAAAGTGTTTGGAGCCACCAACTCTACTTTGGCGTACTGTTTAACCTCAAGGCCAAACACAGTTGCCTCATGAGCTGCCAAAAATGCATGAAAAAAATGACTAGTCTGTCATCAATGCGTAGTGTGATGCCTTTTATATTAAAAAAAAATAAAAATTTCAATTCAATGATTAAAGCTATAAGTATATTACAGTTCGAAATCAATACTATAATTCTTAGCTTAATAACTCTATATAACTTGGGTGGTGTTGAAAATACTAGTGGGTTAATGAGTGCCCACAATGATATTGAAAACATTGGTAGATTTTTCAATGTCAACACAAAGTGATATTGACTTGAGAAATGAAGGAGGATCGTATTGTCAAAAGGTGTGTGCTGTAAATTTTAATGTATAGTTAATACGTTTGTTTGGAGTTGCTCTATAAATAGAGCGCTCCGTATGCTTTAAAGATACATTGAAAACAAGGAAAGATCAATAACATCATTATCTATCCCTCCATCTTTTATTTGTTATCTCTTTATATTATAGTTACATTATAATATTTTACATCTATTTTGCTTCTGTCACTGGTAAATATTATCCCCTAACTTTTACCTATTTATAACCGGTAGTGGTCCAAAGTCTCAAATCTTTTTTCAGCTGTTTTTATACTTTCTTGGTGCTGCCTCTCTCTCTTAAGACCGAAGACCGGAGACCAGGAAACCAGAGACCATCTGTCTCTGTGAGAAATAGAGAGAGCCATTTTCTCCAAAACTCAGACCTCCTCCCTTGTTCTGAATTCTTCTGAATTACTATTACCACACCCACGCAGAGGAGAGGAGAGGAGTGGAGAGATCATAGTTGGGAAATTGGAATATGACTGAGGAGGCTAGATCCGTCGTCCGAGTTGTGTAAGTCTCTTCGCTTCTCCTCTTCTTTCTCCAATTCTCCAATTCTCCTCAACAAACAAACAAATATGAATGAATTGAATATAAGCATGCTTTCCTTGTCTCAAATCTAAATTCATATTTGGTAGATTCACGGATGTATGCATACTTTGTGTTTGAATGTTGACAACTTGTTTTCATTTTCTCGCAAATCTGCACAGTACAGTAGCAATGTCTTCTGCTTTTTGCCTTTCCAGTTTACACTCCTTAACTTGCAGCCTTTCGAAAGACTAAAATTTTTCAATTTCAGTACTTGTGATTAAGTGTTGTAGAATACTCATGAGAGAAGGATAGATAGCCCTACCACAATCTGGTTGCCATGCTTCCCTTTTTGCATGATGATATTCAAGTTTTACTGTTTATCTCTTATTTACCATAAAAGAACATATAATTCACAGCACTTTTGTAAATGATGATTCATTTCAAGAATTTCAAGCTACTTATTTGGCATGAAATTATTTCTCTCATATGATCGATATGTTAGATAAGATTTTGATTGGTACGAGTCATGACATTTTCTTTCTTTAATGCTTTACTTTATGCATTATGAATTATTACGGTGCTCTTTTTCATTTGTTTTCAGGTAAATAAAGGATGTTCATAGTTCAGGCTTTGTTCAGGCTTAGTCCCCAACAACTTTGTTGTTCATGGTTAACAGTTTGACAGTGTCATCAACGCAATGGATGCTGTCAGTGGAGGAAACAGTCTCAACAACCCTAACCTCGCCTCAAAACAGAGATTGCGTTGGACGCACGAGCTTCACGAACGCTTTGTTGACGCCGTGGTACAACTTGGTGGCCCAGATCGTGAGTCACCCTCAACTTTTATCTGGTCAGCTGGAATTTGTTTTTTCTGTTGGTTGTCGCATTTATCTGCTGGTGTGCAGGATTTAAACTGTATATAAGTCGAAGGTGATATCTGTGAAGGAAATTTTTGACCCTGTTTTGTGCTTACGTGGACGAAATCTTGACTCAACTTTGTATGTGTTTTTCCGTAGTTTCATCAACTAAGATGGAATTTACTATTTCTCGTACCAGACACGTGTATATCTAATAGGTGTTCTTGTCCTGGGCTACTGAGCAATCTCCTGTTGTGTGAAACCATAGAAAAAATTGAGGTTGTTTTTCCATTTAACTGAGGGAAGAACAGCTTTTAGTTTGTTGACAGTTTTTTTCAGCTCACAATTCGTCAGTGAATTCAAACACATGAACCCATAATGACCTTCCAGTTATGTCATAAATGATTCTTTGGATAAAAATTGGTCCCAGGTTTAAATCATACTTGATCTTACATATGTGGCGTATGTAATATGTTTGAGAACTTAGTTGAGATCAGAAGATGATATTTTGCATGACCAAAGATCTAGGTTACATGCATATTTCTGAGTTCCAATGGAGATATCTGTCCATTTCTGTAGTGATATTGTTTATTTACTCTTATGTTATTTCCTTTTAATCTTTTTCTAGGTGCTACGCCCAAAGGTGTTTTGATAGTGATGGGTGTACAAGGTTTAACTATATACCATGTAAAAAGCCATTTACAGGTATGTAAAAATCCGTTCTGTCCAATGCTCAACTTTCCTGGTATTTTCTTTTTATTTTTGGCGGGTGTGAGAAGGGGTGAGGATACATTTCTTTCTCGATGGCGTTTCCTCTAATACCACTTGTGTGATGGACTTAGAAATATCGACTTGCAAAATACCTACCAGACTCCTCATCTGATGGTAGGTGAACTTGATTCCTTTCATGTTAATAATTTGTGAATTCGGATTCCATATTAGGCAAGTTCTCTATAGTGATAAAGGCATATCAAAGATGTATTAATTTTTGGACCCTTTTGTGATTCTCTTCAAATGTTAATGCAAGGGAAAAAAGCTGACAAGAAAGAACCTGCGGATGTGCTTTCCAATTTGGATGGTTCATCGTAAGTAGAACTGCCTATTATACTCGGTATTTCTTTATGTTATCAGTTAAGATATGGGCCATGTCAATTGGTTCCCTGTATGCTAAAGGAACCTGTAGTCAAACTTTAAAATTGAGAAATTCATATCTAGTTCACTGTTTATAAGTGCACATGGGCCATACAAAATAAAATATTACTGATTTGTTATTGCATGTGAAACCATCAGTTTGTGTAAATTGACGTATCAGTTTGGCTGATTGATGTGAGGAAGTATGTACTGTTTCTGTTCACAGTGGAATGCAAATCACAGAAGCACTCAAGCTGCAGATGGAGGTGCAGAAGCGACTACATGAGCAATTAGAGGCATGTTTTCTATGCAGAATATAGATTCCAATAAAATTAATGTATTGTCACCAGGTTTTACATTTATCAACAGCATATATATTACAGAAAATTGTCTATGAAATGAAGAATTTGAGAAAAAAAGAAAAGATTTTGCAAATGGTTTTATCTTTTCTTTGCTACAAAGCATTATATCACTTAAAGTATATACTTTTCAGTCATGGTTGCCACTCAGAATTCAAATTAGCTATTTCTGATTCACCTATCTTAAAGCAATGTAGACCCTCAAAAAATGATGTTGATAGTGTCAGAAATCCTTAGGAAGATTGAATGACCAAGAACTTGGATAGCAAAGAGATCAGTTAAAATCACCTCCTACCCAACTACCTTACAATAAATTTTGCTGCATATGCATAGAGGATAAAAGGGGAAGGGGGAAAGGTCTTGTTCGTTCGGGCCAGCATGGTTTGATAAGCTGAACTCATGAATGCTCAACAGGTACAGAGACAGCTACAATTACGGATAGAAGCCCAAGGTAAATACTTGAAGAAAATTATTGAAGACCAACAGCGACTTAGTGGAGTTCTTTCAGAAGCACCTGGCTCTGGGCACCTAATCCGTTTGTCAAGTGACAATTGCCCAGAATCTGACAACAAGACTGACCCGGCAACTCCTGCCCCGACCTCAGAGTGCCCCCTCCAAGACAAGGCCGCCAAGGAATGTGCGCCAGCCAAGAGCATTTCAATTGATGAATCTTTCTCATCTCGTCGTGAACCCTTAACTCCAGATTCAGTTTGTCATGCTGGTTCTCCAGCTGAGAGTCCAAAAGCAGAGAGGTTGACAAAGAAGCGACGAGTTAACATAGGCGAAGCATTCTCTGATCCTGAAGTGGTGCTTACACACCAGATACTAGAGTCGAGCTTAAACTCTTCTTACCAGCAAGGACATACAGCTTTCCTGCCCAGGGAGCAGTTTCATCCCTCATCCGGGATTTCATTCCGGAAGGAAAATCAATTGGAAAAAGTTGCAGGCAGTGACATGTAGCTTAGTACTGTAGAATTTTCATTTTGCCTCTGAGTTTCCTTGGGAGATATGTCTCAACTCTAATCAAGCGAAAGAATGTTACTAATTACAGGTGTGCTGCATTAATCAGGTTCAAGCTCTAGCGCATGTATGAACTCTGTGCCTTATTTAGATCGAGTGAAGTTGGAATTAGTAATTCTACTGCAATATGAGTACTATTGACTGCACAGCTTCTTGTGTGTGGCCAGATAGGTGTTCTTTATATGCTTTTTATAATTTCCCTCTTCTTTTGATATTCTTAGCCGACATTAGTTACTTCAATTCAAATTTTGCAACCAGAACTAAGGGCTTTGGTTGGCATTGCCTCTAAAAAAAGTACTTGCGCTAGAAGTGCTTTTGTAGACAGTCGAGCACTAAAATGTTTTGAACTTCCAAGAATCGGCCTCAAAAGTACTTGTGCTAGAAGTGCTTTTGTAGACAGTCGAGCACTAAAATGTTTTGAACTTCCAAGAGTCGGCCTCAACATGTATAGTACTGCGACGGATTGGGTTATACCTAAATATACTAAATCTTAATTACAATGCCTGGCAAACCCCAAACAAGACAATTTTGGACCAAATCAGGGCAATATGTAAAAGACGGACTGGTATGGCGATGTGAGTAAATATAAGAAAGCAAAATCCAAAGAGAAGCAGGTGAAAACATTTGTGGATAATATGGGAAGTTGTTGCGAGGATTGGAGGCGTCAGTTGTTAGTGCGGGAGTTCAGAATCTGGAATGAGAAACCGTCGTGGGGTGGCAGCGGCGGTGAACCTGTTCATGTTAGTACTCCTATGGGCCAACAGTTTCTCTCCACATTGTATTGAATTACTGTACTGGGACACCGCGTCGGTGGTAAACCTGTTACCTAAGTCCTCCTACGGCCAGTTCCTATGCTTGATTTATGAGTACCATATAACAATTTTACATCAACCCCAAGCTTCTATAAATAAAGACAATCTTATTTGACCAAAAAAAAAAAAATCTTGCATAACTCATGTTCGTTTAACACCCAAAACTTCACCGGGAGTTAATAAAAAAAAATAGTTGTTACACGATTCAATCATTGACACATGAGAGGGAGACGGAGGACATCAGGAACCCGGTACCAGTCACCGGGAGTTAATAAAAAAAAATAGTTGTTATACGATTCAATCATTGACACATGAGAGGGAGACGGAGGACATCAGGAACCCGGTACCAGTAGATCTTCATGCCAACAGGATCCTCTCCGGATTCTTTTGGTGAGGATCCTAAGGATCTGTAAACCGTGTCCGTTGATCGTACATCGTGCAGTTAATTTTTGTCAAGTATTATTTGTATTTAATATTAAATAAAATATTTAAAATGATTTATGATCGCATGATTTACGATGCACATATATGATTCATGGATCCTCTAGGATCCTCATAAAGAGGATCCGGATTCATCTTCATGAAGCCCTTACGTGACATGAAAATGACATGCAGAAATTAGAACAGGGCCATGACAAAGAAATAAGAACAGCACCAATCAATGATTTTAAACAAGAAAAAGGAAAAGGGATTTAACAACCTATACAAGGTTGAAGAATACATCATCATAAGGTAAAACATTTGCAGCTACAAACATTTTTAATTTTTTATACTACAGCAGTCCCTAAGTGGCACATCTATAATTTTTTTACTCGCTTTAGGATGCAAAGACGCAGTCGTTTGCCAAGGGCCTCTAACTTCTCAAATTTCTCACCCTTGGGCTTCCTTGGAGCAATGGGAACTTTCTTCTTTTTCTTTTCCTCTTTTCTTAATTCTGATGATTTTTGTTGTATGCATCCAAGAGGCATCGCAAACACCTTAAGGTTCTTCTGCAGTCAAAAGGGACAACGTAAAATCATGAAACAAAAAACCTGAAATATATTTTAAATACTCTATGCAGTGCTCATACATGAAGAATGTGCAAAAGTATATTATGCATTATTAAGTTCCAGTCGATATGAATGTACCAAAAACATAACAGTGGTGTGTGAAGAAAACAAAAGTCTCTACAGGAATATGAAATATGAACGCATTCAGAGGATGGGTGTTGTGAGAGAATGAGAGACCTGATGACTGCTGTCAGCAGCTGTGCAAGCAGCAGAAGATTCTTCATCACTGCCTCCTAATGAAGAGCATCTGCCCCAACTCTCCCTGTTTGAGCTTGTATATGAACAACATTCTACATTCTCATCATTGGGCTGCTCCTGTAAAACCATAACTGCAGTATTTTAGAATTATAATCTGTGAAACAGACAAGTTGAAAAGTCATAAAAGATGATCTCTCATTTATTAACACGTATGCTGAATTCTTCTCGACTTAAAAGCACTTCATCAATGCATGAACTTACAACACTCCACTGGAACAAGAAACTATCATCTGCATTACCAAGCTAACTGAAAACCATTGCCAATCCATGGTTTTGTACTCTGATGCCTGACCTCAATTGAAAAGATGGGGAAAAAAAATCTAAAAGTTTACATCACCTCTAAATATGATGGTTCGTGACTGTTAAGTGTGTCAGCTTCATCATGCACAGAATCCTGCATTCTCAATTAAGTATGTTACAGACTGACTCAACAGAATGGAGAATATGGAGAGACAAAAGGCAAAAAAAACGTAAAAGAAAGGAAATACATACAACAGCAGCAGTCACTGGTGCAATTTCAGAAAGAAGTTCGCCAACACATTTTGTGGTTGAAATGGCAGGAGGAACAGAAGATGAACTTGCCACGTCAGTACCCGCAGAATGAACACCAGTAATTATCTCATATAACAAACCCTACAAAATCAAGGGGCCGGGACATTCATTTTAGTGCAGGAAATTGTGTAACATTCTATGGTAGTGGAGCACAAAGTAGACATCTATTGCACAATCCCAGATAGTCAATGTAAATGGCTTTGTTAATTACATGAGCTATAATAAAATGCTGACAACTGATCATTGTTAAAATATTATTGTGCATCACCTGCCTTAAGCACAGGATACCATTGAATTATAACTGGGAAGCCAGCCCTCGGGTGCATAGAAGAATTTTCAGTGAACCTTACCATTTATGACCAATGATAATGAGGACGGTGATTGTGCATGTGTATGTATTTGTTTTTTCGGCACTGAAATGTATCGTGATCTTGTGCGTGATGATGATGATGATGGTAGTGGTAGTGGTGGTGACTATGATATAAAAATGATGCATGACTGCCACAAGCTCTAACTTCCATCCTCTCACTTTGATTTTGGCAGAAAAGCCCTTTGGTTACAAAGTATCAATTGAGCTACAGTGCATTGACACAGATTCTTAAAAGCATAGGTACATTGGTGGGAGAGTCAACTTGTACAATACTAGCAGTAATCATAATAAAATTAACGACCAATGGTAACACAATAAGGTTTTCCACAATATATCATATGAAACAGAAATCACCTCATCCAAACCAGCACCAATCTTCAAATCCCCCAAATCATAATACTTCTCAAGCTTACATGAATGACAAGACGTTTGCGGGGGATGAAGAACATTATAGAAGAAAATGGAAACTGAATCATAATAAAACTGTGGCCGAGAAGAGTTGTGATCACCATCGAAATGTATAATATTTTTGTCCCCCTGCAAGGAATCAAAGATGTATTTATTTCTCATCAAGTGCAACATATTACTTTAAGGGAAGTGTAAGACCCTTCAACGAGACAATACCGCATAAGACTTGTAGATGATGTCAGAATGATGGGTTTGGATGAATTTGTCATCCTTAGCATGTCCAAATAAAGCAGGAATGAATGTTTTGGGTGCAACCTGCCAGTGTTATACAAATGGCCGAATTCAATATATAGTGGTAGATTAAAATTCTTTTCAGAAAAAAAAAATATATATACATATATGTACTGGTAGGTAATATATACACAATTATATGATTATATATGCGTATATATGATCAACTATTGGTTCAGCATGTGTCTAACTCATCAAGAAACGACACATTTTATGATCCCCTTGGCTAAAACAAGGGACACTCTGCTAGTGCCCACCCTGTAATGTCGTTCAATGATCCAAACACTCCATTTCTTAGGCCTCCTTTAAGAATAATCCATGCAAAAGACCAGCCAACTTCGGGAATTATTTATCCATTTGATAATCCTGATAAGTTTAGGGCATGTTTACATATAAGGTATGGGTATCATTCCAGTTCTTGTATTTACTAACAATCAAGGATTTGAAAGGGATGCGTTTGATTCCCATTCAATTGTTTACTAAGAACAAAGGAATGGAAAAATAAATAAATGCATTTGGGTCTGTTCATCTACTTGTTTAATTATGATTGGTTGTCTAAAGTTCTTATGATTGGCTTTTTTTGCAAGGATGGTCTTTAAAAGGCAACATAAAAAATAGACGGTCCAAACTTATTGGATTAGACAACAGAGTGGACCCCGCAGATAGCTGGGAAGGTGGGCTAATGATAACTCGTCCAAGGTTAACAAAACTATTATATAGAAGGACCTGCAAGCAATTAAGATCCATGATATCAAACTTTGCCTTCTTCTCAATTATCCGACGCATATATTGTACTGCCATCTTAACCTGGTTAAAAGGAAGAGATAAAGAAACCAAGGTTAAAAGGAAGGAGGGGTTAAGACTCAAGAGATAACATGTAAAACCAGAATGAATATAATTAATGCTTTATCAACCATGCAAGTGCTAATAATTTCTTAAAAATGATAATGATATTGGCAATTTCACATAAATAGACGATATTAATAAGAAGAAGAAAGAGTACAACAAAGAAAGTGGTCCAGCAAACCACCCCAAGCAGAAAGCAGAAAAAAACACAACTGCAAAAGAGCTAAAACACCCAAAAAAACCATAAGGCTGCCCCTTTCTATTCTAAACAAATTAAAGAGAGATTCCCCTGAACTCAAGGGAAACTGAGGCCCAAAGGGCAGACAAAAACTGAACTCTGTCCCATAGCTTTGCCATCGCGTGAACCAACCCTACATAACCTTAACTTTCTTACCCTTCTAAACAAGAACATGAGTTTGGCCAACAGAAAAGCAATACCGTGGAATTACCCAAGTTATACCCATCTTCCTGAGCAGCTTCAACCATTAGCGGAAGGAAACCAGACAGTGAAGAAAAGTATGACCGACAGATTCCAAATCAGACTTACACAAGACGGACCGTCGAGCCGACAAACTGAAATAAGGTCGTCCTCTTT